GTTTCTCTCCAAAATCATCATAATTGACTTCTTCCCTTCCACATTCATGTTAATCTTCTCTCAAATGATAAGGATTATCCTTTTTATGAATCGGGGGAGGGTCAGTCTATTTGGCTAATAGATTCTAGAAGATATTATGGTCTAGCAATATTAGATCGGAACTGCAAGAGAATTACAAATGTCTACTTTTCTTATGAGTACTGAGTCTCCAATAAATCATCTCATACCCTGCTAAAGAACCATAAGAGAAAGTGTGTGTGTGTGTGTGTGTGTGTGTGTGTGTGTGTGTGTGTATCTTTCTATACTTGAGGAGGAGATCTTGAATTCTTTGCACAAGCTCAATCACAACCTAAATATCATTAAATCCAGTTGACACTGTGTGGAGCAGAAGTAGTGCCAACCATGCTTTGCCTAAATTTCTGAACTATAGAGCCACTCAGTTGGGACATAGTTTCTTATAAAGACTAGAAAATTAAAATAGTCTCTTAACAGTAATATCTAGCCCATTCTTAATTTTCTCAAATTGTACTTTGGTTATAGGTGGTTTATTTGAATCAGGATATAAACAAGTGACCCTAGAAAGCTAAATAATAATGAAAATATTTTACATGCATGAAGACATTTCCCATTTTATTGCCTAATTTTAAAGAAATTATCTGATGTGATACACTATACACTACAGACATGATTTGGGCAAAGATTACAATCCTCATCACACAGTGGCAAAAACTAATGTCTAGAGAAATTGATAACTTATTAAAAATTATATCTAGAATCCAAATTCAGATCTTCATATTTATAGGCTGGTATTTTTTTCTTCTATTAAATATTTTCTGAGTTTTCTATTACCATGCTTGACTCTGGAAAGACTTCTTATTAATGAACTGGAAGAAAAGAAATGCTTCTCCACTCCTAATTCTTTGAGGGTCATTTATTTTTGAACTGTGTCCTGCCCTCTCTAGCTTCAGGGTTCAAGGCTACTTTTGTATTTATACCAAGATCTCATAATTCCAAAATAGGCTGTATAAATAAAAGTTACTGAAGTTTTTTTATAAGTAAAAGTCACCTGATGATTTGATGATCATGTATACATAGCCACACAGAGACGAAAAGATGTTGTACTAGAAGATACCAGTTACTACCCATTCATCATTAAAACACACACTACTATAGATACCTAACTGAAATCATTCTGAAGCAATAGTTATATTGAAATATAACAGATAAGCTAAAATTTAAACCCAGTCCAGAAAAATTTTTATTAAATAATCATTTATTGTAGAAGTCAGTAATGCCCTTAAAGCTGAAATTAACTTCAAGTAAATAAAACTTCTAATAGCAACTAATACCATTTTAATTGGCTGTCAAAGCAAGGTAGAAGGGTTTGCCTTACAGATCAAGTTAGATGGCTCTAACAATAATTAAACCTTTAATTTTTAACACTGTCAACTATTTTACAATAAAGTATCAAGAATAATTTTACTTTTTTTTTTGGTACTGGAAATCAGACCTCACATTTTCAGGTCAGGTGCTATGCAGCTGAGCTGTATCCCCTGAACATATTATATTAAAGTATATTAAAAAACTAAAAATCAATCCTTTATGACCTAGAGAATTCTCAAATATTGAATTAGTGATAATAACTTGAATTAACTGGCTTCATAAATGTGCTATAATTTTTTTTTCATTTTATCATGTATTAGTATCCTAAAGCTGGAGTAATTAAGTCCTAGTTGTCTTAAAAGAATGGAATACTGGGGTCCAAAATTGAGGCACTGGCCAGATTAGTTCTCCAGGAGATTCTGAGGGAAAAATCTGTTACAAATCTGTCCTTTAGGTTCTGGTGATGACTGCAGGCAATTCTTGGCTTTTTCCTTGTTTGCAGCTGTTTCTGCCTCTTGTCATCTGGGATTCTCTCAGGACATCTTTGTGTTTCTGTATCAGAAGTGCCTTCATTGTGAAGATTTTAGTTATTGGATCAAGGCCTACACCAATCCTCTATGCCTGATCTTAATTATAGACGCAAGAATACTACTATCAAGGAAGGTCACAGTAATAGGTACTGGAGATTAGGACTTCAATAATTTTGGAGGTACACAGTTAAACCCGTAAGAGTCATGTTGAGAGAAAAAAGTATAAAATGTTTTAACTTAATTTTATTTTTGAATATTACAAATAAGAATAAAATAAATAATGATTAGAGTTCTGAAATGATTGTCTTCCTGTTTAAAAGGAATCCATATGCATTCAAGTGTGAAGAACCTTAATCTAAAGCTTAAAACTGAGGTCTCCATTGTGTTGCGTTAGAAAGTCAGTAGCCTGGCTCTGCCCTCTCTACCGCTCTCCTCCCCAGCCATTTCCCTTCTGTTTTACCCTTTTGCCAAATGAGGCTGCCTATATTCCTCAACACACAACATGCTACTTTATGATTCTTTTCCCTTATTTATTCTGTCTCTCCCTCTTGTAACGTTCTTCCTTTTAACTCCCCCACACCCTAACTGCTTTCACATCTAATATCTGCTTGAAGTCTCAGTTCAGCAGACATTTTTTCCTAAAAGTCCCTTATGGAGGTGGTTCCCCCACATCAGCTCCAGTGCCAACCTCGGATATTGAGTGACATGGAGCTCGACAGGGCTACTATTTTTCTGAACATCTGACTTTCAAAAAACCCTAAGCTCCCTGATGTCAAGACAGTGTCTTCTCCATTTTTCAGTGTCCAGCTCTTAGCACAGTGATCATCCACATGTTAAACAAACATCTGTCTATGTGAGACAGAAAGAATTCTAGCCAGTTTTTACTTTTCAAAGGATATTCCAAGATGTCACACACATTTTAATGTATATTCCTGGCAGACCAAATATTAGATTGCCTGATGCGGGAAGTTGGTATCAGAAGCACAGCGGTTAAACAGAGAGCAAGCTCAGACAAACCTCTCTGTCTTTAAAAATGATTCTGTTTTGTTCTTTTTAGATAGCTACACACTCCTTTTAATAAGAGAAATTTGTATATTTAAGTATTTAGAAAGATCTAAGCAGCTCAGAATTTTAGTATGGCTTCCCTGCAGTACTCAGTACAAATAGAGAGCTCTACTGGGAAAGAAACTGGGAAGACATAACAGTTACATAGATTTAGATGCCTTTGAAAGATAAAACAAGGTTTAGATTTTATGTACAACATGAGCAGCCCCTGGTTTTTGAGAAAGGATGGTTGTGTGTCAGAAGGGCCCCTTAAGAAGTGATCTATCTATTCTTCTGGACCAAAATGTCACACACATCACAACGAGATCAGAGAGCTCAGTATAGAGATTAATCTGTATATAAGTGATTCTAAGGATTTTTAATGTTCCATAAATAATGAACTCACTTTATCATATTTCGGTTTTGGTAAGATATTGTCTTCTCATAGTAACTTTAAATATAGCCCTATTTCCTCCAAAAATTGAGTGATTCAGCTTTACCTGGAGTTTATTAAATAATTGGGTCTATTTTTTTTCCAAAGTTTAATCAGTGAAACAGTTGTCTGAAATCAATTTTGCCTAGTGTGGATGAATTCTTGTGTTCATTTAAAAGTTATGTTAAATCTTCTTTGAGGTTAACTTCTGAAATTCTTTTAAAGATAAGGATGATAACTTGAATGGGGGAAAAGCTTTGAGATATGGCAATATTAATAAGATTCAAAGTTGAAATGAGTTAATTCATTGTGATAGCCCAGATTAAACAACAGTGGAGAGAATTACCAAAACCAAACACTATTCTGACTAACCAACAGGAAATTACCTTGAGCTTACACTACAAAGTCAATGGTGCATCTAATGTCTATTTAGAAGAATCGAATCCAAAAATATATTTAGTGAAGTTATCTTAGAAATAGAACTATTGTGTATGTGGGGCATTCAGAGTATAAGATGATAATTCATAGCTGCCTTAAAATGGCTTTTCTTGTGAAGTATTCTATAGCAAGATAACCTTTCAGTTTAACTTGTACTTTTGAAACTTGATCTGAAACCACAAAGCAATAGATTTGTCTACTTGGTAGGAACACAAATTAAGTTTAGTTCTTATTTTCTTCAGATAAATAAAAACTTTAAATGGTGAACTGTTTTGGTTTTCCCAGTGCTTTATGAAGTAGAATATATTTTAAGGCTTATCTACTCCTTGGTGGCTGATACTTTTGGAACGCTTTCCAATCACTTTTCTAAAACATCTACTTTTAGCATTTTTCTTTCAGAGCTCTCTAAATTTCATGGAAGAGTTTGGGTAAAAGTATATTTGTCCCAGAATATAAAATGCCCTCTCATTCTTTAGAGAAAAACCCTCATTTACTTATGAACTCATTTGTTTTTTCCTAGCCCCATGTTAAAAAGAAATTACAAAAACCTACTTCATTACTTTTGTTTTGTTTTGTTCTGTTTTGGTACCGGGGATCAAACTCATGACCACGCGCTTGCAAGGCAGGCACTTATGTCGCTAAGCTAAATCCCTGGTTTCATTATATATTTTAACATTTAATATTTTAATAAGTTATGTTTAATTTGCCAAGTTTAAATTATATGAAAAATATAGGTAAATCAAATAAGACCCTGGATCCAAGTATATTTCTATTCATTAAAGCCAATCCTTTCCTAGATTTGAAAATTGAACTAATATTACTCATGTTTCAAAGTTGATTTAATGATTTTCTAAAATAATCATACATTTTTATTTCGTTTGAAGTACTATGCTTTAAAGAAACAATAAGTATTCCTCAATATCTCAGAAGCAAAATTTGTCATTTTGCAATTAAAATTGAAAGAATTTCAATAATGTTTTCTTGAATGAAATACTTCACATAACAAGAGTTTCAATTAATTTACCTACATGTATGTATGCTTTACATACATGCTTCAAGATTACATCAATCCTTTGTAATACATTTTACTATACAATTATCTTAATTTTTTTTAAGATTGCTAGATTAAATAACGACAATTTTATATACTCTATGCTTTTCTTTGTGTCCAGGTTCTTTCTTTGGGAGCAGATGTCCTGCCTGAATATAAACTGCAGACACCACGCATCAACAAATTTACAATACTGCACTACAGCCCGTTCAAGGCAGTGTGGGACTGGCTTATTCTGCTATTGGTTATATACACTGCAATATTCACGCCCTACTCCGCTGCCTTTCTCCTCAATGACAGAGAAGAACAGAAAAGACGAGAATGTGGCTATTCTTGTAGTCCTTTGAATGTGGTAGACTTGATTGTGGATATTATGTTTATCATAGATATTCTAATAAACTTCAGAACAACATATGTCAATCAGAATGAAGAAGTGGTAAGTGACCCTGCCAAAATAGCAATACACTACTTCAAAGGCTGGTTCCTGATTGACATGGTTGCAGCAATCCCTTTTGACTTGCTGATTTTTGGATCAGGTTCTGATGAGGTAAGAACTGCTTAAGCATTTATTTTCTGAAAAAAAAAAGTGGTTTCTTTATAAACTTCCTGTATCTCACACATTAAATTCATTTTCACTTGGAAATACTATAAAATGAGATGAAAATTTTTTACATTGCAAATAATTTAAATTCTTTCTATTTTTACAAAGAGATGCAAAATATTCTCCATCTTTTAGCCAACAAATTAAACTGTCAAACACATTCCCAGAATGTGAAATCCCTACATACTGAGTTCATGAGTGTAAAATTGTCATACATTAAGGTTGTCTCTTTCTTAACTCATTGTTGTGATTTGAAGAGGACATTTGAAATGTCTTATCCAAAATCCCTTGCTCCTACACAGGATTCATATTGAAAGATAGTTTTATGATCTAAATATATTACAAAGTTGGAAAGTTCTAGACACAGTGTTCATGACTATTATCAGATTCTCAAAGGACTCTGATCCAAATGAAATTAAATTGTCCTAGTCTCCTCCATTTCATTGCCACTAATTTTTTATGATATGTTTCCTGAATTTTATAGCAAAAAGACTTGCAAAAGGCATAGATGTAGGCTGAAAGAAGATAAATTCAATGTGCTGATTTTTTTAAGTGCATTGTTCTATTTTATTTTTAAAGGTTTTTGTTTGTTTGTTTGCTTGTTTTTTTTTTTTCTTTTTTGAGACAGGTTTTCACTATGCATTTCAGGCTTGGCCTTGAACTCACTTTGTAGCCTAGGCGTGTCTGGAAGTCACAGCAATCCTCCTGCTTCAGCCTCCTGAGTGCACTACCACTCCTGGCTTTCCATTGTCCTTTTATAATTAAGAATCCTTCATGGTCTTTTGTTTGTTTAGTTGTCTTTTTCTCAACAGGATATCAGATGTCAACAGACTGTTGCTCTGTAGCCAGTGATGTTTTCAGGACAGGAAGCCTTTTCTGCTAAGGTTTAGAGTTAACTCTCCTTTCTCCAGAATGTATTAGTCAAACTAGAGTCAGCTAAGAGAAGGACTGTGGAATAAAACACTGTTTTTGGATTCTACAAACCTTATGCAAAGTCTCAGGACTTACTTTCATTATCTATGAAATAATGACCATAATGTTACCTTTCCCTCTCAAGGTGTTATTGGTCTTGGCAATTAATTTGAGATTTTGATAAAACAATACGTGTGAAACCCCCCTACAAAATTCCTAAATCCAAAAGAAAAAAGAAACTTGTCAAACTAGTTAAAGTGAAATACTTCATTACTGTTTGATCCTTGAGTTTCTTACAGTAAGAGATCTATATAATTACATCACATAATCTCCTGCTGATAAAAAAATAAAATATAATTCTTTCAAGAGCTAAATATATAAACCAAAGTTTACTTTATTTTATTCCCCTGTCTTTTTGGATTAAAACTCCTATTTCTTAATGAAACCTTCATTTAGAAATTTACATATAAACACATTAATCCATAAATGCACTTATTTACTTAACAAATATCTACTGTCCATTGATGTTTAACAGTTATTGGATTAGATAGCTGCAACACAAGGAGAGGCAAACAGGAGATGTTTATATGGACTGTAAAAAAGTTATAGGATTATGTACATTTGTACAAGGAATATATGACAAAGTAGACAAATGTCAAAGGTAATGAGAGAGGATATGTTTCAAAGACATACAGAATAACATATCAGACTGAACCAAAGATACCTTTTAGTACAAAAGAGTAATAAGAAGACAAGCAATGCAATTGGTCTACTTCATATTTTTTGCAAAAGTTACAGCTGTATAAACTATACTGTATGATAAAGTAGACTTTTCAGTACAGTCATATTGAGGAATACATTTTTTTTTAAAAAATGTATATCAAGTGATAAGTGCAACACAAATATTCACCATCTGTTTTTGTCTTTGACAAAAAAGAACACTTTCCAGAAGAAAAAGATCTTAAATTCAAATTCAAATGGAATTATTTAGGAAGATTTATCATATGAATATGAAAAAACTACTCTGAGACTTCTCACATAAAATAAATGATGAGCTTAAATTAGAGGGAACTCTAATGAGAGAGAGCTCTTTTAGTTAAATGGTTTCAAACCGGAATTTTTTTCACAGTGCTTCAGATTGTCCCAAAGGACCTCAAGGGTATGAGCAAAGCAAGCTGATAGGACCCAGAGTAATAATCTCTTCTATAGAAAAACAGCTTGAAATTATGTGCTTACTGTTCTGAGTTCTACGTAATATTCTAAAATTTGATGTAATTCATTTTACCAGTTTGGGAAAGACTATAATAACCTCCTCAAGTAGATTCACTCATTCCATTAGCATTTATTGAGAACCTATTATGTGCCAGAAAATGTATTAGATTCCATGTTTACAGAAGAGAAAAATGCAAGAAACCAATTGCTTGGAGGCTCAAAATCCATAGGAGGAGACCAGCAGATGAGCAGATAGAGTAGTATGAAATAAATACTTTTCTAGAACTATATATAAAACAGGATATGAAGGTATAGAATGGGAAGTTCTTCATTACCGTTGGGAGTTTTTTAGATGGATAATTGTAGTTAGAGGAAAAGCTCTTCACAGACCAGAACTACAAAGATTCCCAGTCTCTTTGAAAACAATATTTGACTTAATAACAAGTATTTTATAAGGTCTCCCTTGATTATTATTAAATGAAAATCATATAATTTTATACATATGCTTTCAAAAGTCTAATATATAATGACCTACCCTTAATATCAAAAATAAAAATAAAAGAAATACTTTTACAATAAAATAATATCATTTTTTATATAAATGGTTGAAGCACATATACATTAAATGATAGCATGAAGATCTCAGATGTTCCTATCTTGTTTTAATAAATAAGTTTATATTTGAACAACAAATACAATATTCAGCTTAATACTCATAGTTTTTCATATTTTCATTTTATTATAAAGATTGGAAATACATGTACATGTATGTTCATGTATATGTAAATATGAATATATGTACAAGTATGCAGATATATATATGTGTATCTATATGGATTCATATTTGAACCCCATGACTGTGAGATGCACAAATATGTGCTGATGCTGTGATACATATACAAATCACCCTGCTCCTACTAAAGAAGTAAATTCAACTTTTAGTAAAAGTCCACAAAGAATAATTTAATCTTCTCTAAATTTACATGGTAGATTTCTTAAATTTAATGAAAAAATGTGCAAAAGTAAATTTGCTTATTCTTAAAACCTAGTTTTAAGGCTGAGTGCATTTAATTTTTTTTTTTTACATGTTCAAATCACTGACAGGACATTGAAAATTTGTATAGGACATTGAAAAATTTTGTTGGTGTTGGAGGTTGTCCTGGCATTGTAACTTTTACTTTTCCCATCAGAGGCAATAATCTAGGAAAATAAAAATGATTCAAGAAGCAAAAATAATTCAATAATTCAATTATCTACTATCTTATGTCAAAAATAATAGGGACATAAATGATATAGAGAACTGAAAATGAGTCACTGAATGTGTCAGTCATGCATTCATGATATGGAGTAAGTCAGATATTGCCCACAATGCTAAGCTAAAGTGGCTTCAAAAGTTAATATGAGGTAGATAGGACCCTCTTTGTCAGAATCTTGGTACAACATGAAAGAAAAGACAATACTGTAGGACTTTACAGGATGAAGGAAGGGGCTATTATTCAGAACTATTAAGTGACACAGTCTTACATTATGCACTATCTCTCTTTAGGAGTGTAATGTTTCACTCATTCAGCAAATCGTTACTGACATTCTTCAAAATGTCAGGAAATATCCAAGGTTTGACTGTTCAGAAATGAACTAGACAAAGTTTCTGTTCTCTAGAATTTATCATTCTAGGATTAGGGAATAGAGCATAGTAGATGGCAGATAGCATAAGACAGCTTATATTCAAAACAACTTTAACTACAAGATGATTTCAGAAAAAGAGAAAATGCTACAGTGATTGGAAAACAGGTGAAAATTATGGAGAATGACTAGACAGGGTGACTTAGACTGGGAAGTACTGAAAGACCACTAAACAAATACCAGAAGAGTTGAGACTTGAAGGAAGTAGCCACATGAAACAAAAATGTCAAGCATTTCAAATTTGTGAAAATGGCCCAAATGGGAAACAGGCTTAGCATGATAGAGGAATAGAAAGGATAGTAGCAGCCAGGGTGAAATACAGTGAGCAGGAGATGAGGTGTTAATATATGACACTGCCTAGATAGGGACCAAGCCATGTGGAGTCTGGTGTTCGCTTTTTGCTCTGGCAATAGGATTTTTTGGAATAGGAAGTCACAGTGTGATTGACAATTTCAAAGAATACGTAGGCCATTGTCTGCAGACTGGATAGTAAGAGCAATCATCAGGTTAAAGCCCATGTTGTGATACAGGAGGAACAAAACAACAGCTGTTGTCTAGGGACAGTAGACATGAAGAGACGTAGATAAATGTGAGATACATTTTGGAGATGAGACATCAGAGTTTGTTCATGGATTAAATAACTTGTGAAAGATTAAGGGGAAAAGGACAATGTAGTTTTTCTTTGGTGAAAATAACTTGGGAGGAGCAATAGTTACTTAAGTAACTTTTATAAATGGTAATGCATTGTTCAGATGGTAAAAACGTGGGGGGAAAAGGTATATTGTGGAGGAGACATTCTTGTTTTGGCCATCATAAATTTAAGATGCCACTATTTCTCATCCAAGTACAGATGGCTTATAGATAAATTGGGCACCCCAAGAAGAACTAAAAAGGTATCCTTAGAGGATGACTTGAAACTTACATTTTTACTAAAAGACACATACTTTTTAAAACAATTTGATTTTTTGTTTAAGGAAAAACAAATCACCTAGTAATAACTGCAGAATATTCTGTAATGTTGAAACATGTTACAGAAAATGAATACTAACACTAGTGGGCTTATCCATATCATTAATTTCTTCCTACCACCCAGAAAATGAAAAGGTTCTATATTTCTTAATTTGGGGAGAGTATTTTCT